GTACGTGCAAAGTTGTTGTTTTGCTTGTCTAAAAATATTGCTTTTTAGCCGTTCTCGTTGCGTAAACTCCCTATTTTACCAAGCCGCGAAGCAGCGACGTAAATATCCACCACAATCCACCGACACTGAGGTGAATAATTGTTTTAGTATATACTAAAACAGTGAGACAATTGAGCACAAAAATGATGATTTTTCAGCCACGTTCCCAGTCGTCCTCGGCGATTTCGGATGTGACGTCACCTGTCAAGCTTGTCGGGAAAATTCGCCTAAATTCCAAGCCTCCTCTGGTCACTCGGATGGCGCGAACAGGCCTGGGTACGAGGCTGATGATTTTTAACTCATTTACTGTTGCCAACGCGCATTTTCTTGCCGACAAATAAAACTTTTGAAGGCATTTGTTTAGCTTTTGCGAGGAAATTTCTTCAAAAGGAGTTGTGAATTCCTTTTGTATTTAAAACCATTCTATGCAAAAACTATTAAATCTAGTTTTAAGCTTATTTGTGAACATGTCAGCTAAATAAAGTATCGCAAGACATAATTTGCATTTGTAAACAACAAACTTTTTACCGGTTTCATCGATAAATTCCACTCAAACAGACAAAGCTTTACCTGTTAAGACTTCTAAACCGAATTTCGTCACATTTTTCGTGTATTTCGAGAACAGCTTGTTTGATTATTTGTGAAATTTCTTTGTTTGTTACGGCAGCAAACCACGGGAGGCCATTTTGCTCGTAACGGACGGACGGTCACGTGACTACCAAAATTTCTCGGATGGATAGATAACCAAATTTTCTTAGAGCCCCAACTCCGCTATAACTTCTTTTTTGGGGGAAAGTTACCAAAGAGTATTGCTCAACATTTTAGCTCCGCGATTGGTCAATTGTTTTCGCACGACATCGCATTACTTTTCCTTCGACACACAACCTGACTTCATTTGGAGAAACAGAGCAGTTTTCAGTTGTTCATCGAAAACATTCATCAAGCTATTGTATCAATTGAAGGATTTAATGACGCCGAAACTAGTTGTAGAATTGCACACATTTTAGTCATCAGTCCTAGTGATGAACAGTTACCACATTGAAATATTTCCAGCAACAACAATTATTTTTACTCTGCCCCCTTCGAACAACATTGCTAAACTTTGTGGTAGTAGCCAAACATATCATTTCCCAAAAAGCATTAAACTCCTACCATGTAACAAAGTCAACGACGTGTTAAGGTCTTCAGGCACAAAATTTTCCAAGAAAAGTCCAGGAAAATCAGAAACAAACGTTATGTCGCTAAAATTTGACTTCTCTTTCAGCTCCTTTTTTATCTGAGTCAACTTTTCGCGCCATGGTGAAAGCTCTGTAAGTAATGGCAGCATCCAAGGGGTGTGTTTCCATGGCGACCATGGAGCCTTCACGATGTCTACGGTGGGATCGACCATACGCTGTTTAAAACGTTTGTTCATTGATCGCCACACCTCCAGGTAGATCGCTGGCTCAGTGATATTGAGTTCTTTGAAGGCTTTAAGCTTTTCAGTCATACAGTTTACATACTGTTTGATCATGTCTGGATGACAGTTCCAGCGTTTCATCCTTCCTTCTCTTAGCCACGCCTTAAAACAAATAATAAGCAAATGGATTTAATTGTAAAAATTGCACAAAGAATCGAAACTTTACCAGAGCTCTTGATTGAAATCCGCCAAATGGGTTGTCCCCTTTTACCTGGTCCACTACTTTAACCCTAACATGCTGAGTACTCCATGAATGCACCATCATGTCCCAGGAGTAGCCATACAGACCTTGAGTCCACGAATTATATCCCTACAACAGAAAAGATAATAAGCTGATTGACAATTATGCTTTTAATATCAGTTTCACCTCACATGACTCGGAAAAGACGAAATTCAAGTTCGTCCGATAGGAGTTGAACCTAACGTTTGAACAACAGGGGACAAAAGGTCATGGATAGCGCCATCTACCGGATAAATCCTTTTAGTAAAATCCACCTAATGGTCTATTATCAATGCTGCCTTCTGATTGGTGGAGCTACTACTAAGCTATATGTTATAGCTCACTAGTAGCGAAAAGCGCCGGCTTTAAAAACCAGAACAATGGTGGCTGAATCGCGTTTTGCTAGCTATAGTTGTTTTGTGTCGATATTTTTGACCAACTAGTTGGATTTTACTAAAACAATTATTCCTCTCGTCCTCGTGTCCTCTGAGTCAATAGCCCATGAGGCCTATTGACTCAGAGGCCATTCGGGCTCGAGGAATAATTGTTAATTCCAGTGGATAAGTATTAGGAAAACCAATTGTGTTATTCACTGGTTAGAGATTTATTCAGTGGATAACGTTATCCACCTTTCGAACAACTGGGGCCTGGTTACTAGTCCTAATGCTCTATCACTAAGCTACGGGAGACTCGTGGAAGCAAAAATTACTAAGCTGGGTTCATGTCACAAACATCCTGCATAATGTTAGCATTAGATTTCACGTGGAGGGGTGTCATTTACACAACGAAATCCTTCTACTCGGGAAAAGTTTTCTACATATGAACGGGACCTTAGGGTTACTTTTGATGGAGAAACAGTCTATAGAAATATACTAGTGTTATCAGAGTAAACTTAAGATGCTATGACTGAAATAAAGGAGAAAATTACCTTAGTTATGAAGTGTGAATATGGAAGGAAGAGCTGTATTCCTATGTAAGTTAGTACAATTAACACAAGAGCTTTGTGTTTTGTTCCAGGGGTTTGATTTTTCTCTACTGTTTTCTCTCTATCAAGCTGCTGTTTATCTTCACTCACGGTGGATACTGGATATACACAGTGTGTACTAGTTTGGGGATCATCCAGCGATGGTAGAATCCTAGCCATGAAGTTAGGTAGACAGGATAAAACCTTCTTTGGCCAGTTGTAAGCGCAAAACAGAGGCATGGTAGCCATCATGGCGTATGGAAACATACCAATCTCAAAAATCTGTGAATTCATACCATGAAACATAGCACCAAAAAATATTCCAATAGGACGGGTCTTGTCGAAAGCAAGAAGAAAACCCTCTGAGAGATCGAATGCTAATCCGCCAATATGAACTAGAAACAAGTCAATTTTTTCGTCAGAAAGAAACAAACGAAAGGGATCAAAGACCCATTCGCGAGAAAGGCCAGTCATGGAATAGCCTGCCATCCAGTCCATATCGATCTTCTTAATGCCAGCATAGAAATATACAAGGAAAATCTGAGATAGGAAAAAAAAAGGAACAATTTCAAAAGACGAACTGGGCGCAAAGCATAAGGACAAGTTCAGTCTCTGATTTTCCTCAGAGTAAAATGGATTTTTTTTCTTTAAGACAAGCAAGCGACACTTTTGCGGGGAAGAGATAGGTTGCAACACAGGTATTATTATTTCGCATTTTTCAGACGAGTGAAGGCAAGCTCGAGGCGACCGAGGAAAGCGAGACACGCGCGACGGTGGAACGCGCAGAAAAAATAAACCCTTGAATAATGACAACGGCCCGAAAGTCATCAGGGAAAATGAAACTTGTTAAAAAAGATTTAAGACTTTTCACATTCACTATTTTTCCACCAGCAAATAATTTATCATTAATTAACTTGCTAATCAAACAGTTAGTACAGTTGTGGTGGTTCGTTAGTGGTCCGGTCTATGTCACAAAGCCCACTTACATTCTTTGCAGCAGATGACCACTGCCCAGTGATATAATGAAGATCTCGGTAACTTGCTGCGGGAATTCGCTTTACTTTTGATTTAACAGCCCAGAAATCCCAAACATTCAAGAGAAAAAAGCCTGTGGGTAGCAACCGACTATTTTATATACAAATATTTTTTAACTAACAACACAGAGCTTCAACTTGTTTGCTAAGAGGTATTTGTATCTGTAGAATATACCAAAAAAAATACCTGAAAACGCAGCAAAACATAGTTCCATTTTGGTACATGAGCATTCTTTATTTCTGGATTGAAAAGTCCATCTAGAGACCTTGGAATGAAACGAAAATAAACCTTATTACTCATTATTACAGCATGTAAGAATCTTCATTTTTTATTTCATCCTTCCTTCTCTTAGCCACGCCTTAAAACAAATAATAAGCAAATGGATTTAATTGTAAAAATTGCACAAAGAATCGAAACTTTACCAGAGCTCTTGATTGAAATCCGCCAAATGGGTTGTCCCCTTTTTAGAGGCTGCTGATACAGTCCTCCATCTCAGTTGAGTGTCGACCACCTCAGTCGGTTGTGCCTATTCCAAGTCCCAGAGAGCTGGCATTACGCTCTAATTTAAGTTTCGATTTTTTGGGGGCACACTTTCTAATACAAAAGCAATGCTATGCCATAACTCTTGTCCTACACTATGGTAGTGTGGTTTTAATTGAAGCTATGTGTTATTTGTGCGCATAACTTGCCATAGGGCTGTGTACCCCGTCATGTGTTGAGTGGACAACAGTATGCATTTCTTTATTATGCCATTTTGTTCCATTTTGTTGTTTACTTAGCTTGTGTGACTTTTCATGTGAACTTAAAACCAGAATGCTGATGTTAAATATAAATTAAGTAATAACCAAAGATGACGGAGTGCGGGTAACAATGATCGAAAGCCAAAACGCTTTGCTCCGGCGCTGTGCTTTGCGTAGGTTTTTACGTGAAAGATGGTCATAACACGGGCGATCAGATAACGAGTGAGTGAAGGTGCAAACGCGCTTGATCAAAGCGCGTTCTGTGCATTCCAAACATTCTTATTAGAAGTCCAAACGAATGCTGGCCACATACATGCGACCCATGCGTAATCACAACCTAGAGATTAGGATTGCGGGCTCCTCTTGTCGCCCGCAATGACACGTTGCAACGCTGTTTAACTACTAATGACCAACAATTGTTCAGGAAACAAAATGTTGAATGTAACGTTTGGTCATTGAAAAGCCTACTAATCGGCTAACATTTGTTGAGCAAGTGTTAGACGATACTGAAACGTGGATCATGTAACTTAATTGACGTACCTCGGGCCTTATAAAAGTGACCTCTCCTGACACCTGGTCCACTACTTTAACCCTAACATGCTGAGTACTCCATGAATGCACCATCATGTCCCAGGAGTAGCCATACAGACCTTGAGTCCACGAATTATATCCCTACAACAGAAAAGATAATAAGCTGATTGACAATTATGCTTTTAATATCAGTTTCACCTCACATGACTCGGAAAAGACGAAATTCAAGTTCGTCCGATAGGAGTTGAACCTAACGTTTGAACAACAGGGGACAAAAGGTCATGGATAGCGCCATCTACCGGATAAATCCTTTTAGTAAAATCCACCTAATGGTCTATTATCAATGCTGCCTTCTGATTGGTGGAGCTACTACTAAGCTATATGTTATAGCTCACTAGTAGCGAAAAGCGCCGGCTTTAAAAACCAGAACAATGGTGGCTGAATCGCGTTTTGCTAGCTATAGTTGTTTTGTGTCGATATTTTTGACCAACTAGTTGGATTTTACTAAAACAATTATTCCTCTCGTCCTCGTGTCCTCTGAGTCAATAGCCCATGAGGCCTATTGACTCAGAGGCCATTCGGGCTCGAGGAATAATTGTTAATTCCAGTGGATAAGTATTAGGAAAACCAATTGTGTTATTCACTGGTTAGAGATTTATTCAGTGGATAACGTTATCCACCTTTCGAACAACTGGGGCCTGGTTACTAGTCCTAATGCTCTATCACTAAGCTACGGGAGACTCGTGGAAGCAAAAATTACTAAGCTGGGTTCATGTCACAAACATCCTGCATAATGTTAGCATTAGATTTCACGTGGAGGGGTGTCATTTACACAACGAAATCCTTCTACTCGGGAAAAGTTTTCTACATATGAACGGGACCTTAGGGTTACTTTTGATGGAGAAACAGTCTATAGAAATATACTAGTGTTATCAGAGTAAACTTAAGATGCTATGACTGAAATAAAGGAGAAAATTACCTTAGTTATGAAGTGTGAATATGGAAGGAAGAGCTGTATTCCTATGTAAGTTAGTACAATTAACACAAGAGCTTTGTGTTTTGTTCCAGGGGTTTGATTTTTCTCTGCTGTTTTCTCTCTATCAAGCTGCTGTTTATCTTCACTCACGGTGGATACTGGATATACACAGTGTGTACTAGTTTGGGGATCATCCAGCGATGGTAGAATCCTAGCCATGAAGTTAGGTAGACAGGATAAAACCTTCTTTGGCCAGTTGTAAGCGCAAAACAGAGGCATGGTAGCCATCATGGCGTATGGAAACATACCAATCTCAAAAATCTGAGAATTCATACCATGAAACATAGCACCAAAAAATATTCCAATAGGACGGGTCTTGTCGAAAGCAAGAAGAAAACCCTCTGAGAGATCGAATGCTAATCCGCCAATATGAACTAGAAACAAGTCAATTTTTTCGTCAGAAAGAAACAAACGAAAGGGATCAAAGACCCATTCGCGAGAAAGGCCAGTCATGGAATAGCCTGCCATCCAGTCCATATCGATCTTCTTAATGCCAGCATAGAAATATACAAGGAAAATCTGAGATAGGAAAAAAAAAGGAACAATTTCAAAAGACGAACTGGGCGCAAAGCATAAGGACAAGTTCAGTCTCTGATTTTCCTCAGAGTAAAATGGATTTTTTTTCTTTAAGACAAGCAAGCGACACTTTTGCGGGGAAGAGATAGGTTGCAACACAGGTATTATTATTTCGCATTTTTCAGACGAGTGAAGGCAAGCTCGAGGCGACCGAGGAAAGCGAGACACGCGCGACGGTGGAACGCGCAGAAAAAATAAACCCTTGAATAATGACAACGGCCCGAAAGTCATCAGGGAAAATGAAACTTGTTAAAAAAGATTTAAGACTTTTCACATTCACTATTTTTCCACCAGCAAATAATTTATCATTAATTAACTTGCTAATCAAACAGTTAGTACAGTTGTGGTGGTCCGTTAGTGGTCCGGTCTATGTCACAAAGCCCACTGACATTCTTTGCAGCAGATGACCACTGCCCAGTGATATAATGAAGATCTCGGTAACTTGCTGCGGGAATTCGCTTTACTTTTGATTTAACAGCCCAGAAATGCCAAACATTCAAGAGAAAAAAGCCTGTGGGTAGCAACCGACTATTTTATATACAAATATTTTTTAACTAACAACACAGAGCTTCAACTTGTTTGCTAAGAGGTATTTGT